GCCCCTGAGATATTGGAACACTGCTATCATGTCCCCCCTCGTCCTTCTCTTCATTAAACTAGACATACCCAATTCCAGCAACCGTTCCTTATATGTTTTAGCCTCCAGTCCCCTAATCATCTTTGTTGCTCTTCTCTGTACTCTTTCTAGAGTCTCAGCATCTTTTTTACATCGTGGTGACCAAAACTGGATGCAGTATGCATCTAGGAAAGGATTTTGAAACTATTTACCTTGATTCCAACCACTATGCCCTTGTCCTTGATGACAGTTGGGAAGAGTTTTCCAGTGTTGTCCTTCTGATAGAGGGTCTCATGGAAGAAAATAACTCCCCCAATCTGTTGATTGATGGTTGGGTCGGAAGAGAAGAGAATATCACGGAACTGACGGCGATTTTCTTCTGTATTCTCCACGTTGATGCGTTGCAGCCTGTTGCCCATTGTCCCTATGGAGAAGGGAAAACACTAAAAGTGAGGAACTTTATGTTGGTGAATTTTATCTATAACCTATTTGTAACAAGTTTTAAAAGCTCTGCAAAAGAAGATTATAGAGTGTGCATTCATGAACAACATGCAATGATTTGTAAAATTCCATCGTCTAAAGCAGGGGTCTTCAAACTTGGTCCTTTTATGACTTGTGGACTTCAACACTCAGAATTCCTCAGCCAGGCATGCCTGGCTGAGGAATTCTGGGAGTTGAAGTCCACAAGTCATAAAAGGGCCAGGTTTGAAGACCCCTGGTCTAAAGTGTGCCTAATAATATCACCCTTTGTGGAGTATACTCCTTCAGATTACAGGCACATAATTTAATATTCACATTTCACATCATGTGAAAATATTCTTGATAGTTATAGAAAATTGGCTAATCTTCACTCTCCTATAGGGTTAGAGGAAATTGGGATTATACTAGCAATTTTTGATTAGAAAATGCACATGTTCTATCCTTTGCCTGCAGCCTGAAAGTGTGCAGAGTAGGGAAAGCAGGGGGAAATTAGAAAAGATTTTGAAATTAATTTCCAAATGTCTTCCCTTGGCTTGTCTAAGCAACTCTGAAAATGAGCCTCATTCATCATTTATCAATGGAGCCACTAAACGTTGAATCATTCAGTACTAAAATGAATGAATCTAACCTTTCAGCCTCAATAGAAAAGAACAAAAAGGATTGCTTGATGACACTTACCTACAGATTCATCTGCAGCTAAGATCCCTTTGCCAGTAGCAACGATCCGCTGAGCTGTGTCAGAGAGTGCCTTTTTCTGCTCCGGAGAGAGTGCTGGATACTGGTGGGTCATGGTGGCTGGAAGAAAAGATCACTCCAAACTTTGAGATACATTTATTTGGATATCTGAATAATCTTAATTTAGCAACAGCAGCATCATTATCATGGCATAAGACCTTTGTGTATTTAAATGTAACAGGAAGAGGACACGTTCTCACCCACCCTGAGGTTTTCAGTCATTATATATCAGTAAAACAACAAAAACCAGTAAATAGTGGATTAAAAAAAATGTCTTCAGCTTCAAAGGGCCCTGGATTTTGGTTGAGATTCAGACAGGAACCTGGTACAGAGATGTCATCGGGCACATTTATGGTGATTTCTAGAGTCTAGAGGAATCAGAAGTATCCCAGTTCTTGATATCTTGGCAGTTTTCAATACAGTTGACCACAATGTTTTTTTCTGGATCCCCTTTGGGGATGAAGAATAAGAGGCACTGTATTGTGGTGGTTTTCCTCTTTCTTTATAATTGATCCCAGTCAGTGTTGATGGGAGGAGACTATGAACCTGAGTTCCTTGATATATGGGGTGTCACAGGACCTGGCACCCTTCCTTCTCTTGTTGAATATCTGGGTGAGGTGATCTGTCTTTTTGAGGTCAGGTATGACCACTAATCTGATGATATATCTAAGCCATGGCTGACTAAGTTGTAAGTCTTATCTCAGTGTTTGGAGGCTGTGAAGGCCTGGATGGTAAGGAACAGACTCAGATTCAACCCTGGCACCCTGCCAAATGGAGTGACATCAGAGTCAGAAGAAGGCTCTGAGGAGCTCCAAGACTTACAGTTGGACAAGGAGCCTGGCCCCTCTACTCAAGCTCAAGCGAGACACAGCTGTGCTGGGCGCCTGAGTTGGACAGTGATGAAGAACAGTTGGGGAAAATCCAGGATGCACGAAAGCACAGGCAAGAGAAGCAAGTAGGACAGAGGAATGCAATAGGGCGAAGGAGAAGGCATTAGGAAACCACACCTTGGCTGAATTATAAAAGGGAAGGTGTGGGAGGTGCTGGTTACCGAAGGCAACCGTTTGTGTTGAGGATTGAGTTTCTGTGGACTGTGTTTGTTTGCCTTGGACTCTGGCTCAGGTCTGTGAGAATAAAAAGGGTTGGTTTTTTCTTGCGGTTCCTTCCTGTTTCTTGGAAGAGGGGTTTCTCCTTGTGAGCATAACAAGGACTCACATAGGATGGGACAGAACAGTTATGTCCAACAAGATTGCTATCCTAAAAGAGCTGTGGTTAGAATGTAGTACTGGAGGCTGACTGTGCCCATAGCCAGGATCTTGATCCTGACCGGCTGAAGGTTGACTTAGCCTTCCATCCTTCCAAGGTTGGTAAAATGAGGACCTGGATTGTTGGGGGAAATATGCTGACTCTGTAAACCGCTTAGAGAGGGCTGTAAAGCACTATGAAGCAGTATATAAGTCTAAGTGCTGTTGCTAAGTGCTAAGATCCTTTTCTTCTACAGAGAATCAGATTGCTTGTTTCCAAATAACATTGCAGTCTTCTAACAGAACACCTTGTGTTCTTTATTAACCAGCCCTTTGGCTAATTAACCTCTGCTTCCTCAGTATTTGCCAATGTACATGTCAGAGATTCTTGTAGGAGGAGAACCATATTACTTTATCATAGCCCAAAACAGGAATAGTCGGGACTCATAAAATATGTACGGTAGGTTGGAAAAACTCCTACCTAAACTCTTGAACTTTTGCTTTTTGGGGAGAGAGCTTTTAATTCTTTCCTGGTGTTTATGTGTAGCTCAGAGATTTTCAGGTATGTAGATGTAGGAATAATTTTTAAAGTGCATGTAGTAAAGAAAGCAGGTATGCCACCAGTTAATCATTAAAGCAGGCTGTGAATTGTCTTGTTTCAGAATCTGCTAAGAGAAGAGCTAAGTGATTATATTATCTGCTGTTGGCCATTATGAATGACATTCAAGACTGCATGTCTATGGAGATTCTCAGTCATCCTGATCATGGTTGTCCCAAAGATGCTTTTTCAAAAGGCAACTGGGCTTTGTTTTTCCTTAAAGACATTTTGCTTCTCATCCAAGAAGCTTCTTAAGTTCAATCAGCCTCATCCAAGAAGCTTCTTCAATCAGAAGTGAAGAAGCTTCTTGGATGAGAAGCGAAATATCTTCAAGAAAAAACAAAGAAAGTCCAATTGCCTTTTGAAAAAGCACTTTTGGGACATTCAAGATTGTAGTGATTATTTTCTTTCACTTGGATTATGGCTGTACTTGGTGTGTGTATGTGTGTAACACTACCACTTTTTATTGAATATTATTTCCTGGAGTGACAGAGCATCCACAACCACAGGTAATCACAAAATACGATCCTAAGTAAAATTGTACAAAGCTTGTCCATCTGAGAAAATGAATGCCTGTCTAAATAAGATGTTTATCTCTAAACCTCTTTGGTATGAAAAAGACACAAAAATGCATCTTTTAAAACAGTCTTTTAACCGTTTTAACGATTATACGTAATTGTTTTTAATATTACAGGGTTGAGTTTTGGTTTGAGGTTTTATTGCAAATTGCTGAGAGATCTTTAGAAATGTCAGTATAATAAGTAATTGCCTGGAGTCATTTGAAATTGGCAGGATATAAATGCTGTAAAAAGTCACGTGTGTGGGGTGAGCAACTATATAAATCAACTAACTAAATGTAAAAAAGAGGGGGGGAGAGAAACATGTTTTCACTTGCAAAGGGACGTTAAACTTATTGCAGTTTTACCCTATTTCCCTTTGTTCCCCATCACCAATGAATAGACTTTGGCAGCCTGAACTTGAGTGGTTCTGGAGGCAATTTTTAAAGTGGAAATTCAGGGTTATATGACGTGGCTTAAATTTTAGCACATCTGGGTCACGCCGCATTGAAAAAAAACCCCATTAAAAGTTGTTTTTTTTAAAAAAGTACAAGTTATAATAAGATAACAGACTTTGGCTTCTAGGAAAAATTGTCCACTCCCACCCCATCCACCCCCAAGCTTTAAAGGATAGCAATATGGAAGAACGTAACTGGGTGCTGAATGAGCCCATTTGTCATACAAATAAAGTGTATTTCCCAAGCCTAAAAGTTTCACAATGAGAAAACAGTATTGCAGCACTATAAAAAATGTGGCGGCATTTAAGATATATCAGGAGCATGAAAAGTAAAAAAGGCTGTTTGTCTAATCAAGTTCCTGGCAGAGAGACAATAGGATCTGGGCAGGAACAGTCAACCTACCTGGAATATAAGCCTTTTTCTTTTCCTCTCTTTTTTTTTAGCGCTATGGAAGAAGATTGGGGGGGTGGAAGAAAGCCTTCCCCATTAGAAATAGCACAAAGGTTGTCTTCTGTTAATGTTACAACAGATGACAGACCAAAGAGCAAGAATTGAGGTCAGAAGAGGGTTAGTGGGTAGTGCCTTCCAGCTAGGGTTGCTGCAATGTGGACTGGTGTGTGTGTGTGTGTGTGTGTGTGTGTACTTTGGAGGGAGGGAGACAGATGTGCAGTTTGCAAAGTCTGTTGCGTGTCATTTAGGACGTGTGTCCAACTTTTGTTCCTAGGTAAAAGACAGCTGATGTTTAGTTTTGCTAAGACTAAACCCTGGTTGCATGGAGAATAATTAACCACTGAATATGGCCATTACATGGATTAGAATCATCATTCTTTTCAATTGCTAGACCCAAAAAATATGGACTTTAGCAACAGTCTAAGTAGGTTTAATAATATAGTGCTACCAGGACTAATGACAAGGATTTGCTATATTGGTTAAAAAGAATTTTGGATTAGCAGAACATTTCTATAGTGTTTTTATAAAGTACTTCTTTAATTATACCTTACATGATTGTTGTGATGGTGAAAAACAGGAGAGTGAAGTGCTATTTATGG